AACGATTATACACGTGCTTACTATCTACGATAAATATTCAATAAACATAATTAATTTGGTCAGTATACCAGTTATGAACATTGGACTTTGTTTTTTATTCTCGCTTTCGCTTTTCTGAAAATCTAGACTAATTGTCGGCCTAATTAGCCTTATCGTTATGGATCTTGATTGACCGCAAAGTGAAATAAAATTTTCTAACGATATTAGTTATGAATGAATTGTAAATTGATAAAAACAAACTGAGTCAACAATAATTATTTGATTTGGTTTTTAATTTTTATATGATGATTTCGGCAAACATTTCACAAAATATGTTTTTTTTTTTTAATTTTCCGGGAGTTATACATCAATCTTGTAACTGATTTTTACTCCCAATTAATCTGTGGCTATATGATGTCACCAAAATAAAACAAAACAAGTGAAAAGGGAGTTAAGTTCGGTCGGGCCGAACATTGGATACCCTCCACCATAGGTATACTGATAGTTACGTGCAATGAAAATATAGGGAACATATCAAAATGTGGACATATTACGACAATTCTACCAATCGATTTTTGTAAAGCATAATGTACACCAAATACAAATTTCAGCAAATTTTAATGATGATTTTTCATTAAATCTCAAAATCCCAAAACATGAACCGATATTCATATCGCATTTTTGGGGTGAAGAATGTGTATAAAATACTAAAATTTACAGGGCAACGTTATATGTAGGACATTTTCATTTTGTATCACAATACCTTCTTTCACCCTAATTATTAAATCGGTAGGTATTTTTATATATGGTATGGGCCTAAATGTGGGGCTATATATGCTATTATCCAACCTGACGTTCTGGATTTTTATTTCGATATCCTATGAAGGTAGAATGATTACTACAGATGGCTAAATCGACTAAATCTTCTTAGAGTTCAATACTTTGTAGTGTATAAACCTACAATTTCGAGTTTAGAATATCCCCCATACTATGATGGAATGTGGCTATACGGATACAACCACAAAACGCGGGATAAATATTATATAAATGGCGACTACTCCCCATATATAATTATATAAATAATTTTTGGAAAGTAAATTTGTTACCAAACAACAAAATACGAAATTACAGCGAATTCTGTCGAAAAACATGCTCAAAACCCTCAATAAAAACCTAATTGGCGGAATTTCAGCGAGTTCAGTTGAAAACGCGCCTAAGAACCCCAACATACAGAAAAATGGGGGGTGGTCCCTTATATGGGGGCTATCCCTAAACGTGGACCGATTTAGCTCATTTTCGAGCTTGACCTGCTTGCAGACAAAAGACAAAATCCTATGCAAAATGTCAGCACCCAATTTAACATTTAACATCAATTTAAAATAGACAGACGGACGGACAACAATTTAACATAGACAGACGGACTCTGAAAGTGATCCTATGCATATTCTAAAAAGAAACCATGGGTCTATCTCGTTTCCTTTTGCCTGTTACAAACATATGCACACATGCATAATACCATGTTTTTGTTGTTGTTGTTGTTGCTTGCAAAAGGGCTGCTACCCTATTGCTTTTACACGATGGGCTGAAGTGATAGACGTAGGCCGAGTATAACTCGGGTCATTTCGGATCGTAGACCCCTCTGTCGTGGAAACGATACCATGGCCCAATAGTAAGGTCGTCCGATATAACCAGATGATTTCACTCGAGCTGTCAAAATGCTTTCAATTTTGACTAAATCGTGTGAAAACGTAAACAAAAATTTTGACAGTTTTGGGAGACCTTCCTTCACAACCTGTACCTGTACCACAGGTAGCAATGGACATTCTAATTGATGGTATGTAACTAGTGTCAGCACTAGTTATAAAACGTACTAGTTACTAATTTGACCCTATAGTAATGCAAGCGGAAATAATCGACTACCTTTTAAACTTATAGTAAGCGAGAATAAGTCACTTGCGACAAAATCAGTTTTTTATTCAAATAACAAGAAAAAAATATGTAAACATTCTCTCCGAACAGCAAGAAAAATATGATAATTGCTTGGTACAAAGTCCGGACTGTATGGCGGAAGCAACTCTTAATAAATAATCCCCTTACATTCCCACCAAATGCATAGCAGAACCTTCCTTCCAGAACCCAAACATTAGTCCTGGCTTGGCCACCGTTTGAGGTGCTTCACGGCTCTTTAACCACGATCGTGCAGGTCGCATTTATGATCCGAATTGGATGAAATTTGGCATATGTCACTTATTTGGCCCAAAAACGAAATTGGGAAAAATCGGTTCAGATTTAGATATAATGTAAATGCACCAAAGTCCCTATATATCTTTCGATTTCCACGAAATTTGACACAGCGTTCTGAATTCAGACTATAATGATGTGTGTTAAGTTTCATGAAAATCAGTTCAGATTTAGATATAGCTCTCATATATGTATATTTTCGTCCGATGGTCCGTCATAGCATACTGAATTAAGTCTAGAATGATGTGTGCTAAGTTTCGGTTCAGATTTAGATATAGCTCCTATGTATATTTTCTTCCGATTTTATGTAAATTGTGCACAAAAGACCCAAAGTTTGTCCGATTGCCACACAGTTTTGTACAATGAACTGTAGTAAATATAAATTACTCTGGCAAGGCTCTTTAAAATCGGTTTATATTTAGGTATAGATTCTATTTTCGTCCGATTTTACACAAAATTGAAACAAAATAGATATAGCTTCTATATATAGTTTCGTCCGATTTTAAGTAAAAGATGTACAAAAGACCCAACGTTTGCTACAAAATTTTGCACAACGTACTGAAATTAATATTACCTAACGTTTGACAAGTTTTGTAGGAATCTACTCCGAGTTAGATATAGCTCCCATATATAGCTTCGTCCGATTTTAAGTAAAAGGTACACCAAAGACCCAACGTTAGGCCGATTGACACAAAATTATGCACAACGTACTGAACAAGGTTTATTCATATGTGGTCTGTTCCCGTACTGCAAGAATCTACTACTTTTTACTACGATAACGAATTGTCCTTTATGATATCGAAGAAAATAGTAAAATCTAGTAGATTCTTGCAGTACGGGAACAGACCAATGGTTAGCAAGGAGGCGAATTCAAAGTCTTCATTGACTGCCAAATTTATTTTTTGAAGAATAAATAAACAAAAAATAATTTTAATCAATACACTTTTTTTAAGATATTTGGAATTTGTATCCTGTTCTGCTTTGTATTTCGCGATTTAAAAGTTGACGGAAAGAGAAGACTTGGTACTGAAGTTAATTTTGTTGAAATCGGTTCAAATTTGGATAGAGCTCCCCATTTTATGTAAATGATGCACGAAGAACTCAAAATGTGGCCGATATGCACAAAACATACTGAAATTAGTATAACCTAACCTGTGATAAGTTTCGATGAAATCTGTTTAGATTGCGATATAGCTTTTATATATTTTTTCTTCAGATTTTAAGTAAATGGTGCACCAAACTTCTCATATTTATCAGATATTTATCCAAATAATCAACGGGTGTCCGACTGATGTTTTCTTTAAATTTATTTACATATTTTTTGTTCCATTGTAAGAAGCAACTCTATATCTGACCAAATGAAAAATTTAGTATAGGTTGAGGAATGACATGTTTATGGATCAAATTTCATATAGTCGGCCCGTCCGACTTTACTACTTTCCTTACTGATTTTCAGTTAATTTATGTGGCACCCAAACATCGAGCTTCTTTTTGAATACAGCTTTGTGCAAAGTAAAAGTTTAAACAGTTTTAAGGTCTAACTCATATTAGAAGTCGTATCATAGCCCAGATCAACTTCGATCATTTCTCCGATTTTATAGACATTTTCGATGCATTCCTCTTTCCCCAACCTAATATACTCAAATACTCCGATTGTGAGCGCGGAAGTGTCAATTGGTTACCTCGTATGACATTCCCGCGTAAGTAAGTAAACAGTTAAATGCGTTGCGGCCCCGTCCTACTTCTATCCTTTCTGAAATATTTCATCGCTACTAAAATTAATACAATTAATTATATACATCTATACGCGTTCGTTGTAGAAATACTCAAGATAATATCGAAAATGTATGTCATAAATTTGGTGTAACTCGCTTACAGAAAATACACAAATCTTAAAATGTTAGAGGAAAATATCTGAAATATTTTCAACAGTTTCGGGAACAGAGTATACAAATATGAGAACAGTTTAAGCGACATCTAGCAGAGTTAATTTACAACAACTTGGCAGCATTGTCGGTATGCGACCATATTCGATTTTTTTCGATATGTAAGTAAATCGAAGTCGACTTTTAAATCCCTATCATCCCACCTCATTCGTAAACAAACCAACTCCTTTTTAGTCTCCATCCCACCTCATTCATTCGTAACTTTCCGTCTTCTTTTTTGACTTCTTCTTTATCGGGAATTTTGTCTTATCCCATTCCATTCGTAACAGGTGGAACGTTTTTCTATGTTGCAGTAATATAAGTAAACGTTTATAAACGAAGTAAACGTTTATAAACATTTATTGCATCGTAGCAGTTGGATAAGTACAAAACGGCAAAATATTCGTCCTTTCACGGAGGAGATCCTGTTCTAAGGAAAATTTAAATCATCCTATTGTATTTCATATATAAAATACAAAATTCAAACTGTTACCGCCTTTGTTTTGATTCCTGCTGTTCGTCGGTGATTTTCACTAGTTCCCCTTCGTTACGGCGTTGTGTTTCTCTAGAGGGCTTTGTATAGACGTCATTTCTATAAAAAAAAACATCAATAGAGCTGCTGTATATTCTGTCCACATTTATTATTTTTTGGAAAAGGTAAAATAATCGAAGCTGCACCATGTCTTATATGTTACCACATTTACACAATGGCTGGCAGGTGGACCAGGCCATACTTTCGGAGGAAGACAGAGTTGTGGTAAGTAGCATACCATTGTTCCAGATTTATCTCGATCTTTCTTTGCCGCCACAATACCAACCACTCACCGAAACTCTTCCCTTCTATATGCAGGTAATTCGTTTTGGCCATGATTGGGATCCTGCATGCATGAAAATGGATGAAGTGCTCTATAGCATTGCGGAGAAAGTGAAAAATTTCGCTGTGATTTATTTGGTCGATATTACGGAGGTTCCTGATTTCAACAAAATGTATGAATTGTACGACCCATGCACGGTGATGTTCTTCTTCCGCAACAAACACATTATGATCGATTTGGGAACGGGTAATAATAACAAAATCAATTGGCCACTGGAAGATAAACAAGAAATGATTGATATTGTGGAGACAGTGTATCGAGGAGCAAGAAAAGGTCGTGGTCTGGTTGTATCTCCCAAAGATTATTCAACGAAATACAGATACTAAGTGTTCGGTGTATGGCGGAGATGTAATTACTACATACTATATCGATAAGACTAATTTATTGTAGGTAAAGAAATTCGTATATTTTTAAATAAAGTAGACTTTAGAACAGAAATTAAAAATCGAAATCTCCATGTTGTTCAGGTTATTTTATTAATAAGCTGCAACCTCTTCCGGCTTCAGTCAAGTTTAGGGGCTTCACTCGGATCGAATTTTTAACGTAAGTAGTCCTCGTTGGGCTGTTTATCGATTTGATGTGTATAATACCATAGACAGACGACAGCCTTAATATGCATTAAAAAGTTCTTAATTTGAATTAAAATTTACCCCTGACAGACGAGAGTTTCTGCATTTATGAACCAGTTTTTTTGTTTCAAAACTATTGTTTGTCTGTGTGTAGGAAGAAAATATTGACATTTCTTTACAATATTTTTTAGGATTACATCTTTTTGAAATTGATACATGGCAGGAAGGAAAACTAACAGCTATAATGAGGATAAAACAGCTCCAAATTTGAAGTAATGTTGAATTTTGCCTTTATTTTTAATTTCGTAAACGTAAACAAATTTGACAACAATCAATTTATTTTCTACAGCATTGCCATACTGAAATTGCTTAATTCAGTATAGATTCAGTTTCATTTTGTGGATTTACAACACATAAAATTGAGGATAATGTTCAAGTTAATTTGAATTAAGGCTGTTAATGCAAATTAAGGCTGTCGTCTGTCTAGGCTATAAATTAAGTTTGATTTTGTGCATTAACAACACATAAAAATGAGGATAATGTACAAGTTAATTTGAATTAAGGCTGTTAATGCAAATTAAGGCTGTCGTCTGTCTAGGCTATAAGGGTGATTTGCATTTTTCCTTATAAGAGTATGACAAAAAGTGTCGTTAAATGTGCAAAATGGTGGAAAAAATGTTCGAATTGGTAAAATTTTAAATAACAGGAGGGGGGACTGATACCTCCGGCTGGTATTTTGAAATAAAAAAATAAAATTATTTTTTGTAGAAGTGAGAAGCGTTTTCTCGATGGCGGAATATCAAGTCCAATTTCAAGCGTTCCTTTCAAAACAGGGATGCGAAATGAAATTATTCAAATTGTACTGGCTTTCAATAAAAAGTGTACTTTTTTCAGTCCGATTGTACTTTTTATATACTTTTTAATTTAGATTACATAGTGTAGGAATTAGCGAATATTTGGGGTTATACAAATATTTAAGGGCTATGCCTAATTAATGGCCGATATATATATAAATTTGGAACTCAATATTTTAGTTATGTATCTCAATTCTTCCCTTCAGGAATTATCATTATATGGAGAAGATGCCTGAATCCTGCCGACATACATGAAATACAAATTTCAATTTACAACAAAGTCTTAGAACCCGACCCAAAACGCGGAACAAATCAGATAACTATTTTAATATAAAAAAGGGTTATATGAGGACTACCCCTAATAGGGGACGAATATTATTAGTTTTTGGGAGGGAGGTTTGTTACCATATGCGACTACAAAAAACCAAATTTCAGCGAATTCGGTTTAAAAACGCGCTTTCCATAAAGAACCCAATGTACCAAATTTAAGCGAATTCGGTTAAAAAACGCGCTCAAAAACCCCAAAATACCAAAATTGGGGATGCCTTTATATGGGGGCTACCCGAAAAAGTGGAGCGATATTTATAATTTTTAGTCGCGACATTTGGCGAATTCGGTTGAATAGCGCGCTCAAGAGCCACAAAATATCGAAAATTGGACTGCACCCTTATATGGGGGCTATGCCTAAACGTGGACCGATATAGCCCATCTTCGAACTTGACCTGCCTGCAAAATTTTGACGATCTATCTCAATTCCCTCAGAAGATAGCGTGATTACTACAGACGGGCGGACGGACATGACTAGATCGTCTTAGAATTTTACCCTGATCAATACTTATTTAAAATTTTGATGAGTTACAAATTGAATGACAAAATAATAATAATATTATATTATAATATCCACACTATCGTGGAGGGTATAAAAAGGGTTTGAAAATTCTGAAATAATAGATTAGAATCTTAACTTTTGGGAATCAGCTTCGAAATCATTTGGTGTAAAATAATATTAAAGTGATTCCCACTGCGCCAAAATTGCTTCAACAACTTCTTGACGTGAAAGCCATCGAGTTGTTGAGTATTTAAAAACAACATGAATATCTGTACCGAATTATTCCTGAAACATTGAAAAATCATGTCTCTCATAGAACAGTTACAAAAAAAAAATAATTAATATTAATATCTTCACTGAATTTATCAATCTGATCGGGAATACTGCATTTTGAAGCGGCATAAGACACTGCGTTTAAACTATGGCAAATTCATCCATTCGTAACGACAGCGGGGATGGCGATTCATTCCATATTGTATGTTTAAGCACTTATAATACTTTTAAGGGAGAATAATTTGATACAATTTAGAAATAGTGCTAAATACGTCATTGGGGTGCTATTGTATTTTTGACTTCCAAATAGTGCTAAAATTAGTACAATTGTACCAACTTTTGCATCCCTGTTTCAAAAAGGAGCGCTCTTCTGAAAATTGCACTTGTCCATCTACTACATCATCGTGTTTCCTTCTTGTAGGTTGACCGAAGAGGTCCGTTATCGGATATAATGAAGGAAACGGGGGTGAGTATACCAACTGCCGGCTGGTTGGTTGAGATGGTGCCGAGCGAATCAGAAAAACTCTTGCCTTGAATTGCTTGGATTTGCTGTTCAGCTGTAAGATCCAACTAAGTCAACTAGTCAACAGCGAACCGGAGGAATTAAAGGTGGTTTGACTGAGACCCCAATAGAGTTGGAAGTAAGTTGTCCCGAGGATTTTAGCGAAGAAGATGAAGAAGTTCCTCAGCCCAAGAGGCGCAGACATGTTTAAATAGTTTTAATTGGTTTTTAATTTAATTTTAATTGGGGTTTAATTGAATTGGTGGCAACGGCAAAACGGCTGTTATAAAATATGTCCAAATTTTTAAGGCCAATATCTCGGGAATATGCATTTTTCCCACATAAAATATATATCATCTCAACAAGAACTACTTAAGTTAAAAATCCGATCCAAGTGGAGCTCCTAAACTTGACTTGTTCCCATCTTCCGCTGGTACCTTGGTATTTCTCAATGATTTTTAAAGTTTACTGAGGCAAATTGAAGCTGTTGGAGTGTAGATAGTAAAATTTTAGTTCTTGTCAGCTAGAATCTTGGAGGTGAAATTCAAAGGTGTCAGATAAGGCTGGGTTATTTAAAATTCGTACTAGGACGGCACAAAAAGTACAATAAATAACTATGGTACTATTTTAATTTGAGGAACCGGTATAGCTAAAATTATTAAATTTGGAATGAGGGTCACAGATGGATAGATATACCAAATGTTTTTTTTTTTTTTTTTTTTTGAAATTCTAACTATAAGTATACGAAAAGTTCTAAAATGTATTAAATTTGGTACAATGGTCGACATAATGAAGTGGTACTAAACAGTACTACATTTGATACAATTTTGTATTTAGGTGATATGGTAGAGATGGAATTCTCAATATATAATTAAAATTACTGTTGGAGTGTCGGATTGGGGTATGGATGTAGTTTTGGAAATTTGTTCTTAATGGTACTATATCTGATACAAGTTGGATATAGGTAAACCGATGGATCTGGAATCCTGAAATTTGAAATTAGCATTACTGTTGAAATATAGGATTATGTTATGTAGGAAGTTTTGGAAATTCGTGATAAATGACACTAAATTTCGTGCAATTTGGATGTGGGATTGAGAAATACGATGTCTGTTGGAATTTTCGTGGTAGGTAGTTATGAAAATTTATATTAATGTGTACTAAATTCGATACAATTTGGAACCGACCGATAGTGTTGGAGTCCTGAAATTTAGAATTAAGATTACTGTTGGAGTGAAAATGATACTATATTTTGTACAATTTAGATTTGGGTGATCTACAAACATAATATCGGTCATTTAAAATCACTTTTTGAAAAGTGGGAGACTCGAAAATCGAGATAGACCTATGGTTTCTTCACCAAAATTGCTTAGAATTGTCCATAGAATAATCATATATTTATATTTCATATAAACGCGTACATGATGGGTCTAATCGATTTAATGTAAATTTATGGTGTACCAACTGGGTCTGATCGATTTTATATGTTACATAATGCAAACCTCTTGGAATAAAACTCACTTTTCTCATGTATTTTCATTTCATATATTATTTGATTGTTTTTCATCATCTTTATTAAATTGTTGCTAACATTTACATTAATTTCATCTTTTATTTTATTTCAAAAGATAATTTTTCTTTCTTGTTTTGTTTTTTACATTTTGTATTTGATAACATTTAACTAAAATTTTACTCATACATATTTAGTTTTTAACTTTTATATCTTTATTATATTATGGATGTTTTGGTATGGCAAAGGCGTACATCATTGACAAGACATTTTGATGATGACAAGAACGTTCAGCGTACACCTTTCTCAACCATTTCAATCCAAAACTTTTGCGAATTTATAATTTAACATAGGTTGTTGTGTTTATCAGATCATATACCAACCTTAAAAGAAATAATATTTATTTTCTGTTGATTTGTTATTATAAATCATAATTAATTGTAATGTATTTTTTTATTACATTTCAGCTTTATATTTAAACTTAGTTATATTATTAAATTATGTAATATTTTCCTTTTAATTAATTTATATATAATTTTGTTATTACATTCGCATTTTATAAGTATTAATTAAATAAATTCAATTGGAAAATTAATTTATAATTAAAATTATATTAAATCTTAATTAAATTGCAAACAGAAAATGTACATACATATATTTTGTGTTATAAACTTAACAATTCTGTGTGGTGTTTTAGTTTTGGAGTTATCATAGACAATTTTTAATATTATAAAATCATTTTATATTGTTAAAAATAACAAAATCATTGGGCTGTTATTAATTTTCTGG